AGGCGCAGCAAGCAGCGAGGCGGGCGGCAGTGGCAGGTGGGGGACGGGCGCCGGCGCGGCGCCCCAGGCTGGCCGCCACACACGTCTGCGCGCTGCGGGCCTGCCGGCAGGCGTGAGGCGCCGCCGCACCTCTGTCACGCTGCCCAGCTTGCTGCCACCAAAGCCGCCAAAGCGGTCGGACACCTTCTCCATGGTGCGCCCAAAGAAGCCCTGCGGGGGGGCGGGGCGGGGAGGGGAGAGGCGGGCGGCACAGGGGCACCAGGTTGCTGCCAACACCATGCGAGGGATATGGGAGTGGCGAGGAGCCGAGCTGAGGACGCGGTGAGAGCAGAGAGAGAGAGAGAGAGAGAGAGAGAGAGAGAGAGAGAGAGAGAGAGGCAGGGCCTAGGGAGGGCGCACACGCAGCGGGCCAACCGGCGCCGCACCTTGGGCCTCTCCGGCTCGGGCGGCGGCCCCCGCTCCAGTGCTGCGCCGCCAGCGGAGGCCCTGCGCGGTGCGGCGCCCGGCGCCGGCCCCTGCCCCGCCTGCGCCTGCTGCAGCTGCTGCGTGGTGGCGCTGAGCAGGGGCGCGCGCCCCACGCCTCCCCGCGAGTCTGACGCGTTGCGCAGGCGCGCCAGCCACTCGTACTTTTCGGCCGCATCTCCCGCCCGCACCACAATCTGGTGGTGGTTCTTGGCCACAGACATGGCAGGGTTCTGCGGGAGGGAGGGAGGGCAGGTGGGAGGGCAGGTGGGAGGGCAGGTGGGAGGGAGGGTGGGTGAGAGGCAGAGGGGCAGGAGGGCTAGAAAGGAGGAGCCAGCGGGACTGCACACAGGTGGGTGGCGGGCAGCAGGGCCGGCAAGAAAACGCTGCGGCACGGCTGCCTGCTGGCAGGGAGGCAGCGAGCCCAAACTTTGACTCGGCTGTGCTGCCGGCCGGCACCCCTGCAGCGCCCCACCAGCCAGGCAGCCGCTGCCGCACCTTGTGGGAGATGCGGATGAGCAGCGACACCGACCCGGCCTTGTTGTCCAGCTTCTGCGTGCTGCGCTTCTGGGAGGGCTGGGTGGCGGCGTCAAAGTCCTCCACCACACAGTCCCGCAGGTTGATGGTCACCTGCAGGCACGCAGGCAGGGGGGCCAGGCGCCAGGCGGGGTCGAGCGCTGCAGAGGGCGCAGGCGACATCCGCCTCAGCTGCCAACACATCGGCGCTGCCGGCACATGCCGCACGGGCTGCCGGCTGCAGCGGGTGCCAGGCGCACGGCGGCGGGGTGCCAGGCGGGCGGAGCGCGCGGGCAGCAGGGCAGGGCAGGCACGCGCGCGCGTGCAGGGTGCTGCGTGCGGTCTCTCTCGGGCACGATAGTGACCACCTTGGGCGACAGGCCGGGCGTGGACATCTGCTCGGGGCTCTTGAAGTAGTACAGGAAGCCCGACTCCATGGCTAGCACAAACCAGCGGCGCTGCCACTTCCAGCTGTCCAGCGGCAGCGCGTTCAGGCTGCTGCTGTCGCCGCTGCGCTTCTCCAGCCACCCGGCCTTGAGGTCGTCGCGCAGCTGGGGCAGCTTGGCCTGCGGGGCGGGGGGCAGGGGTGGGTAGAACAGGGCAGGGACAAGGGCACAGGTGGACGGGGAGGCACACGGGTAGGTGTGCAGGGCTGGGCCTGCAGGGTGCACCCCGCCGCCCCATGCCAGCTGCTTGCATGATTTGCGGGGGCAGGCCTGCGCAGCGGCCCAGCACAGCTCACAGCAGGCAGCGGCCCATATGCCGGCGGTGCTCACCGGCGGTGACTCGCGGCTGATGGCGGAGCGGGCGGTGTCGGGCGCCTCGCTGTCGTCGTCAGACTCGCCGCCATCGCCCGCGGGCACGCCTGCGCACCACCACGCCACACACACACGCGCATGAGCAGCAGAAGAGGACTGCGGCTGCCTGGTGCAGGGCAAGCCTGCCTGCTCCAGCACTCCCAGCAAGCGCGCAGAGGCAGGCGCCACGCAGGCAGCGCGGCGCACGGGCCCTGGCAGGCGGCCGCGCCAGCGCACACGCACCGCGCGCCAGCTGCGCCATGCGGTCCTCGGGCTCCGCCGCCCCCTCCAGCCCCTCGTCCTCGCTCTTCAGCCCCGACTGGTACTCCTGCTCCAGCTCCCGGAAGAAGCTGGGGGTCACGTAGTTGCACTCCATCTGCACCATCGTCTCAGCCACTGCAAAAGGGGTAGCAGGGGTGAAGCGTGAGCAAGTTTGCTGGGGGGTGCAGCCGCGGCAGCAGGGGCGACCGCGCGGAACCAGCAGGGCTGATGCGAAGCCTCGCAGCTGCTGGTGGGCGCGGCGCTGCTGCGCCATCATCGCAGCAGTGCTGGCAGCACCGGGAGCACCGCAGGCAGCGGGCGCACGCGGCACCCACCCTGGTGCGCCTCCTCCCGCCACTCCTCCAGCGCCCGCGTGGCCGCCTGGATGACGGCGTTCTCAAAGCCCTTGAGGCGCAGGAACTCCATGCCCTTGCCCTGGTCGGAAATGCCCGCCTCGGTCAGCACCGACCGCCGCGCCGCCTCCCGCACCTGCAGCAAGGCAGGGCCGCCGGGCGTGCCGCCTGCCGTCAGCCCCTTGCTCCTCCCGCTGCGCGCCCCGGCCTTCCATGCCTGCTCTTCCAGACCCGGCGCCAGGCATCCGACCCGCCAGCTGGCAGCCCTGTGATAGCTGAAGCTGCACAAGCGCAGGCCAGCAGCGCAACAGCAGTGCCAGCTTCCCGTTCCCACCCCCAGCGCACCGTGTCCATGAGCACCAGGTGTATCTCGTCCACAAAGCGGTGCACGTGCGGGCTGGTTTGCATCATCGCCTCCTGCACCAGCCGCTTGATGCCGCGCTCCGGGGACACCAGGTGTGGCTGGAAGCCATCTGCCTGGCGACAGATCTGCAGGACGACACCCCAGGGGGCGGGAGCAGTGGCTCATCTGAACCAAGCGGCAGCCCACAGGCACAAACGCCCACTCCTCTCCTGTCCTGCCCCCGCCACCGCTCAGACCCACCTCCCGCACATACGCCTTGGTGAAGCGCTTCTCAATGGGGATCTTGTGCAGCGACTCGGGCAGGGTGCCCTCCACTACGGCCCTGATCTTGAAGGCCGTGTTGGCCTCCTGCACACCACCCCGCCAGGGCAACCCAGCCGCACGCGCGTGAGGCAAGCAAGCGCACGTGTGGTAATGAACGACTTCTTGCTGCCAAAAGAAGGGAGAAAAGCTGCGCAGGCTTGCGGACAAGCAGGCACACGAGAGCAGGCGGCAAGCAGGCACGCCGCTGCTCCGATCCGGCCGATCGTGGCCGCCCACCTGGAGCATGACCGAGTAGGCCCGCTCAAAGCCGCGGCAGTGGCGGAAGATGTCATTGGCGCCCTTCTTGGCCTCCCCCAGCGCCGACAGCTCCTTCTCAACCGCAATACGCCGATCAGTCAGGCGGGAGAGCACCTGCAGGAGGGTGGCGGGTGGGGTGGGCGGGGATGGGTGCGGGCCGAGAGAAGCGCCGGTGGGTGGCTGCGCCAGGCGGCGTCCGCACGGCTGTCTGGCGCACCCTGCGCCCGCCACGCCCGGCGATCACCCGCCCGCACAGCCCGCGCCGTGCGGGCGGTCGTTGCGTGGGCGCCCCGCGTTCGCTCACCTCCTGGAGGTGCTTGGCCTCTATCTGCACTGTTTCATCGGCCATGCTGCCGGCGGTGCAGAGCAGCCGCGGGCAGGCGCCTGGAGGTCAGCCCGCGCGAGATCAGTACTCCACACACACTCTGGGACGCGGTGCATGCGAGAGGGCCTGCCCAGGGGGGAGCAGGGAACGCGGAGGGCCGAGCAAGGCCCGCCTGATGAGAGGGCAGGTCGGCTGACGGGGCTTTTCATTGGAAGAAACGCCAATCCCGTGCCTGCCCTATTCAACAGTAGCTGAGTGGCCTGCTCTTCGTGTCAGGATGGGCTGGACGGGGTTTCTGGGGCTGTTCCTGCTGGGCTGCTCTCCCCTGGCCGCCGTGGGCTCCGTCTGCATCTTCCCCAAGTCGTTTCTACTGCTGCTGGCGCTGGGCAGGTGAGTGAACGTGCCGCCAGCGGCTGCCAACACCTCGATCACATCGCACCGCCGCCGCCTGCACCGCCACCCTCGAAGAGTGCACCCTCCTCTGTCGTGCAGTGCCTTCTTCTGGCTGCTCACACTATTCCTCATATCGGCGCTGTTCAGAGGTGGGTCCACCGCGCAGCCGTGTGGCATTGTGTCTGCCCTGGAGCCTGCCCCGCCGCCAGCGCGCACAACCCTCTGCGCTGCTCGCCCCCTCCACTGCCGTGCAGCCTGGGCCCCGCTGCCAGCATCCCCCGGGCCCTATGCTGCCCTAGTGCTGGTGGCGGTGCTGGTCCAGGAGCTGGCCAGGGTGGGCATCTGGCGCTTCCACAGGCAAGCGGCAGGCAGTGTGTGAGGGCTGCGGCGGCGGGCGACTTGCTTTGCTAAGAGGCTCCACACTCCCGATGGTTGGGGACAGGTGCCATGTGCGATGGCACCCCCGACCTCCAGCTGCCGCCCCGCGCTTAGACCTGCCCCGGCCTTCCACCACGCCGCAGGCTGAGCGTGCGCGTGCTGCAGCGCATCGCAGCCGAGCAGGGCGACGCGCCGCTGTCCGCCGCCGACCGCGCCTCGCTGGCGCTGACGCACGGCCTCAGCCACGCCGCCGTGCACTCCGCCTTCTTCTTCTTGGCCTGGCTGCCGCTCAGCCTGGGGGACGGCACCATCTACAGCCCGCACTGCCCCCACATGTCGTACTTTCTGGTGGGCGCGCTGAGCACGCTGGGCCTGGCCGCCCTGCTGGCGGGCGGCATGGTGCTGTTCTTCGACGGGCTGGAGCGGCGGGAGGTGGGGCGCGCGGCGGCGGTGCCCATGGCGCACGCCGCGGCCGCCCTCCTCACGCTGCTGAATCTGGCAGACGGCGGCTGCATGGTCAGCATGCCGCTGCTGCTGGCGGGCGGCGGCGGCGTGGCGGCGTACGCGGCGCGGGTGTGGTGGCAGCGCACCACCTCGCCCTCGGTGCCGCCACGGCTGCTGGCGGCGCGGCGGGCGGCGGCGGCGGGGGTGGCATTGAGCGGCGACGCGGGGGGCAGCATTTTGGCGGGCGAACGAGAGAGGGAGCGATAGCAGCCGCCGGCCCGGCCGCGCCACACCACCCCTGACCCTGTCTGCTTGGTGGCGGTTTGGGGGTGCCTTACACATCAAGAGCACTGGCACCGAGCGCTTGCAAAACAGGCTGTGGTGAGTCGCATCCTCAGGCATCTGTCGAGGGGACAGCGGGGCGACGCTTTGGGGCTGGGCTGAGCCACCTCGCCGCACAAATTCCAATCCAAAGTTTAGTGTCCTGCTGCGCGGTGAGTGGCACAGGCCCAGCAGGTGGGACGCAGGGGAGCAGTGGTAGCTGGGCAGAGAGAATCGTCATGACGAGCAGAAGGCAGCTGGAGCAAAGCACAAAACTACTGATACAAAGAGCGCGGCAAGCGTGGGCCCTCAGGCGCCGGAGCACGCTGCGCTGTGGGCTGGGTTGCAGAAAATCACCGGGATTAACAAGGGGAGGGTGGGGCCTGGGCCCGCGGCCAAGGCTGCGGCATCACTGCTGGCCCACTGAAGGCGCCGCCGCTCCCGCCCCAGCTGCGGCGGCAGAGGCGGCGGCTCCTACGCCCCCTCCGTTGCGTGGCGTGGTGGGGCGTCCAGGCGCCTCGAAGAAGAACTGCAGGAGGCGGGCAGCACAGCTGCCACATCAGGCACGGGCGGGAGGCAGCACAGGCAGGGCGGGCTTGGCGCCAGGCCCTGGCCGCACCTTGCGCCAAGAGAAGGTGCCGTCTGCATTGCGGCACTTGTTGTGTGCCACCTCGAAGATGCCCACGTCGCTGGGGGTGGAGCAAATCTCTGCAGGAAGCGGCAAAGAGGGCGGGAGCGTGCTGCCGATCGTCGCACCGCGGCTGGGCGCCAGAAGTGCGGGGGCGGCAGGTGCGGCTGGCCCTCGGGTCCGCCCCCCAGGCCCTGGCACGCCCCATCCGACACCCACCCGGGAAGGAGTCTTGCCGCGTGAGGGAGGAGTGCGATGTGGGTTTATGTGTGTTTATCGGGGCGGGCCCCTTGGGCTGCGTGCTCTGTAGCCCCAGGGCCGACTTCAGCTTGGTCAGGGTGCCGGAAGACGCCTGGGCGGGCTCGCTGCCGCTCATGGCGTGTCGGAGCCCCAAGGGCGTCACGTGTGGCGGCACAGGGTTTTGCAGCCGTGAGCGCTGAGCAGGCGCACCGGGGGGGCAGGCACAGCTTCTCGGAAAGTTGGCGACATATATACGGGGCCTGCAGGGTCGGGCTCAGCCCGACGGGCTGCCGATGCCTGCTGGCACCGTCCGCGTGGCGGCCGGGCGGCACCCTGATGTGTGGGACTTGTGTCTCCTTGGGAGCACCACTGCCCCTAACCTCACCCAGCTTGCATTACAGGCTCCAGCAGGGCAGCCCACTTCTTGACAGAGCTGCCCGGCACCTTGCGGCCAAACATGGGGCAGGTGGGCGGGAGCAGCGCCGACGTGAGGTTGCCCAGCGCAGCCAGCACGGCGCTGCTCGCTGCATCCGCGCCCGTGCCGTTGTTAGCTAGCCCCGCAGCCTGCCCACCGCCGCCCCTCGGTGCCCGCAGCAACCTGCCCACCGCCTCTACCGCGGCGGCCGCCAGCGCGCTGCCGTTGCAGCCGCCCCGCATCTGCGCCAGCACCGCCCCCGTGGCCTCTTTAAAGGAGGTGGGGTGCGCGGCCCGCGCCCGCCACTCTGTGTAGGTGATGCCGCCGCCGCACGTGGCCTCCCCCTCCAGCCCGCTCCAGGCCAGCAGGGTGGGCACGTAGTGCTCGTCGCTGGTACAGAAGCGGTCATTCCAGTTGCGGGCCGTCCAGCAGTGGGCGCGGAACACGGCGTCAACCGCCACATCCCGCACCACCACCTCTGCGTGCCTCCGCGTCAGCATGAACCACTGGCTGCGCGGCGGAGGGGAGAGGAGGCCAGCGGCGCGCGTGGGCCCAGCGGGCATGCATCAAGATGTCAAAGAAAGCGTCACCCCAAGTAGGCTGCCCCCATGGGGTGTGCGGCAAGGCTGCTCGAGGTGCCAGCCGGTATCGCATCTGCGCGCAGGCTATGGCCGATGGCGGGAGCAGTGGCGCACCTGCTCTTGCGCCATGTGTCCCTGGTGACGTTTGCCTGGAGCATGCCGGGCTGCCAGCGCCACGTCATGCGCCTGTTGCCGTCATTGGGGTCCGCAGCATCCCTGCGGCGGCAGCAGGGAGGCAGCCGACGCAGCCGGCGGGGGTGGGGAGGCGGCGGCTGCAATGTCGGCAAGCCCCAACCTGGCAAGCCGGCGAACTGCTGAGCTGGCAAGCTGATCCAGCCGCACCTGCAAGCGTTGATGCGGCTGCGGTTCTCGGAGAGGAGCTGGGTGTAAATCTCCGGAGTGCTGTACACTGGCACACAAGTCTCTGCAGCCACAGCCGGGCATGGCATGGGGCATTCATGCCTCGAATGTGAAGGCAAGGCAATCTGGGCATGGGGGCCCGCCTGGCATAGCGCATGCCGCCAACCACGCCGCACCTGACAACAGGACAAAGCGCTGGTTCAGAGGGTCGTGCAGGGCTGCTCGCAGGAGCGCCCGCTCCGCGTCGACAATGCTGTGGTTGCCCCACACCGCCCCCACGCGGTCCGGCACCTCGTGCCGTGCGAAAAGGCTGCCCCTGGGCAGGTGCCGCCCCGCCGCGGGGTGCACATACACGCTGAACAGCTGCTCCCAGCCGCTGTGCCCGGCGCCGCCCCTCCTGCCGCCCACCGCCGCTCCTCGCACTGCCGCCGTGGCGGAGTCCAGGAACAGCCGCCACAGCGGCTCGGTGGGCAGGTCGCTGCGGATGAGGAACATGAGGGCCACCTTGCCGGGGGCAGCCGTGCTGGGGGCGGCCTCGTACTCCGCAGCCGTGGCGGCTTCGTACGCCGCATGCCGTGCTCCGGCGATCTGCAAGCGGCGCACCATGCCAGGCGTCATGGTGTGGATAGCATATAGAGTCTACCAGCATGCAGCTTCGTGTGGCTCCGGCAAACCTGGGAAACGTCGCTCCAGGTGAGAACAGCGAGCTCCCCCGCCCCCAGCAGGCCCAGCGCCATCAGGATGACCGCAATCTTCTGCCTGAGGCCGACCCTGGCGCCATCCTGGGACCCATCCATGCAGCCTGGTACGCCCAACGCTGCCTAGAGTGAGAAGCTGTGGCAACTTGGGGTGATGGACTGGCCGGCCCCTACGGCGCCGCCGCCGCCGCCGCCCCGTCAGCTCCTGGCCCGGCGGCCGCCCTCCTGCAACGCGGCTGCTGTTGATCAGTACCAACTGGCCCAATGCTCCAATCGGGGGGGCGACAAGGCGGGCCAGGGGCTCCGCAGCGCTGAATAAGCTTGTGGTTCAGCCCTCAATCGAAGCTCCACATAAATGAAGCCGAGGCTGGGGAGATGGCAAGTCCGAGGGAAACAGTGCACGCAGTAGGATTGTGTTCAAATGGCTGTTGAGCCATTGCCGCCAACTCAGCGCTGCCGCCGAAGGCGCACGCCAAACCCTCCTGACCTGTTCACTGCCCCTGCTAATGCATGCATTGCTTCACAAGTTCTCTGAAATGACTGAGGGTGCAGAAGTCAGTAGCAAGGGTCGGTAGTCTGGGGTGCCGACAGGCGCAGGGCAGGGCAGTGCAGGGCAACGGGTTTCAGAGTGCAGCAACCGGAAGGCCATGGCAGCTATGACAGGCAGGCCTCCTGGCAATGGTGCCAGCATGTGTTAAAGGTGTCCCCCGTCAGCGCTTGGTGCCGGGGAGCTGGAACTGTGCGGCGGGTTTGGCGGCGCTGATGCGAGGCTCCGCCAGCACCTGCTTCACCTTCTCGGGGTCCCTGGTGGGGGCCTGCAGCGGCAGGGCAGGAGGTCCGCAGGGGCGCCCCCAGTCACACAAGGTTGGTCGCGCAGCGCGTCATCACAGCGCATCGCTCGGCAGCCAAACACTCTCGTGCAGCCAGGCTCTGAGAGGAGCGTCGCACCTTGCACGTGAAGTTCTGTTGTGAGACGAAGTGGAAGCAGGGTGGGGCAGGCAGGGCAGCAGAGCGCCGACATTAGTTTGCGTTTCATGGCAGGAGCAAGACCAGGGCATGCATTCAACAGAGCCACGACACATGCAGGTGGTCGCCACTCCCCTGCCTCTCCACACCGCTCCCTCCCTCCCTTAACACTCCCCCACCCCTTGCCCAGCCAACCTGGTAGATGAAGGCAGTGGCGGGGTCCCCCGCCTGCATGCCCATCACCTCCACCACCGCCACCGCCTCTGGGTTGCGCTGCCGCCAGAAGTCCATCACCTGGCTGCTGCCTGGGTCCAGCTGGATCACAACCATGTCTGCGGGCAGCGGGGGT